CAACGACAACGACGACCACAACAACAACAACAACAACAACAACGACAACGACAACGACAACGACAACGACCACAACCACAACCACAACCACAACCACAACCACAACCACAACGACAACAACACCCTTTTGGGGACTCCCGGCCTGTGAGATCGTCAGAGGAAAGTCGCTGGGGTCGGGGATGTCGCCGTCGAAGATCTTACCGTCACCATCGAAGATCGGGCGTCCATGTCCAGGATAACTCTTCGGATCGGGTACTTCGCCGTCGAAGATCTTGCCGTTATGGTCGAAGATCTTACGCAGGCGCCCATGTACGTCATGTACCACATACAGCTCCACACACTTGCCAAGCATGAACTTCTGCACTTGCATTGACCAGGTTTCGCTGTAGTCTATCCTCAAGGGCGGAACCACCTGGGAAGAAACAGGGCTTTTCAGGACGGTTTGCCACACCAGCGTAGCTTGCAGACCATTTTGGGAGTTTACAAGCCCGGATAAGAAAGACCCGAAATCTACCCCCGAGCCAGAAGAATCTCTGTCTCTGTCTGGAAGCATACCTATGCGTCCCTCGTAATCATCTCGTGTGCCTTCCAGGTCATTTTCAAAACCTGAAGAGTATTTCAAGACTTCCCACGTTTCATGATCCATGATACCTAATTAAGCCACAGCACTACAAGGCCTCGGCCTGGAGACGGCGAACCCTTTGACCCTGCCTAGTCCCCAGGTGGACTCTCAAGCTCTTTTGGAACGCCCTGAAGGTTTAGGGTTTGGGGTTTAGGGTACGCCTTAGGGCCTAAACCTTAAACCCCAAACCCTCCAGACCCGCGATACCTTGGACCCCAATTCCCATAAGGTTACTAAAGGGGTCACTGTATGAGATACTACAGTGTCAGACTGTAAACCCGAAACCCTAAACACCTAGACCCTAAACGCGATGATAAGGATTCGAGAAGACAAAACCCTAAACCCTAAACCCTAAACATCCCACACCCGAAGCCCAAAAAACCAGAAAACCCGAAAAATCTCGAAAAGCATCCTTGAGTCTGGCCCCAAGCCCAACCTCCGGGTGGAAGTAGGTTTTCGCCGTGTCCAGAAGCAGGGAGATATCTTTATCCCCCACGAGGACCCCAACCTGCTTGCGCGCTGCACTTTTTGGGGTTTAGGGTTTAGAGTTTTAGGGTTTAGGGTTTGGGGTTCGGGGTTTCGGGTTTAGGGTTTAGGCTTTAGGGTGTAAGGGATTGAAGGGGTTTTTTCGCTTTGAATGGTTTCATATGGTTTTAGAAGGGCTCGTTCTGCAATTCAAGGTTCTAGCGGTACAGCGTGACGTTGGGTTTAAATGGGCTCTTAGGAGGGATGTGATAGGCTGCAACATCGAGGCTTTCCTCAGGTTGTAGCTCTTCATTAGGGGTTGGGGCTCGAACCCCTTCACCCTGAACCTCTAAACCCTAAACCCCTAAACCCTCAACCCCTAAACGCCTAAACCCCTATACTCCCTAAACCCTAAACCCCTAACCCCTATACACCCTAAACCCTAAAACCTCTAAACCCTAAACCCCTAAACCCTAAACCCAAAACCCTAAACCCCTAAACCCTAAACCCAAAACCCTAAACCCTAATTCCAGGGCTGTGGGGGCATTTGGGATCTTGAGCTTCAGGGCTTCGGGGCTTAAGGAGCTGTAGGCCTTCCGGGTTTTGGGGGTTTTCTCGCTTTGGGCTTCAGGGCTGCAGGCAGTGAATGCACTCATTTTTTTGTTTTTGTCTTTTGTGGGGGGGGGACTTTGTTTTTCTGGGCTTAGGGTTTAGGGTTTAAAAAGTTTAGGGTTTGGGGGTGACTACGGTTTAAGGCTTGCGTGCAGGGCTTTAGGCCAGTCTGCATGGGCCTGCCTTCTGATGTCTCAGCCCTAAACCCCCAAACCCTACACCCCAATTAAACCCTAAACCCAAAAACCTAAACCCCAAAAAAAAAACGGAACCCAAAATCCTGACAATTAAACCGTAAGCCCAAAACCCCTGTGAAGCCAAAAGCCCACAGCCCCCAGAACCTCTTTAAACTCTCACCGACCAAACCTCCAAGGTCCAAACCCCCTCAACCCTAAACCCTAAACCCCTAACCCAAACCCTAAACCCTAAACCCAAAAAAGCCCTGGACCCCTCCCTGGGCCCCCAAAAAGGGCAAAACAAACGCGACCTCGATGGCCCCCAAGGCCGAATCCTTAAACTGCAAACGCCCTAAGCACCCTAAAACCCTACCTGTAGCCCAAAAGACCTACCTTTTTTTCTGGACCCCAAAAGTATATAAAATAATAGCCTTTCAGAGGCTTTGGGCCACTATTTTACCTACTTTTGGGGGGTTTAGGTTAGGGTTCCATATTATGGCTTCTATATATAACTCCTTTAAAAGGGAAGTCTTTCCGGCTTCTGGCACACCCTTAAACCCCAAAAGCCTGAACCCTGGAACCCTGTAGCTCCAAAGACCCCCAAAAAAGACCCCCCCAAAAGACCCCAAAACACATTTTTTGGGGAAGGGCAGCTTTCAAAATCCGATAAAAAGCGGAAGCCAAAGCGAAGGGAGCAACGCCTCCTCCTTTTTGCGGCCCTCCTTTTCGCCCATGATCCTTGGAGCTTCTGAGTTCTAGGCCTAGGATTTAAGTTTTAGGATTTTTGGGTTTAAGGTTTAGGGTTTAAGGTTTAGGATCCGGATGTTGGTTTTAGGGTGTGGGGTTTAGGGTTTAGGATTTTGGGCTCAAGGCTTAGGAGTTACGGTTTGGGATTGTGGGTCTAGGTCCCAAACCCAACCCGCTCCCCAAGTCTGGGTTTCTGCTTTGGGCTTCGGGCCAGAGACTCCCATACCCCTTAGTTAAGGAGTATACCTTTAAGAAATATTTTGGGGTCCTACCATAATATAATTTAAGGTATGTTCCTTAATTAAGGGGTTTTGGAAGGTCTGGGTAGGGCCGAAATAACCGAACGTCTTATTCCGATACCCCAAGAGTTGCCTGTCACCGACTGAAACGCCAAGACGGTGGAGGTGGAGATTCTAAGGGGTGTCATGTATCGAGCCTGAGGTTCATTTTATAAAATGCTCGAACATGGGGCGGGGGGCGAATTTTTTTGGGGGTGGGTAGAGTATGTACGTTACGTTACTCCTACTGAAAGGAGCCCCAAGGAGCATTCTGATAGACTCTTCAGACCCTAAATACCCCTATACCCCTATGGCATGTTGTTAGGATTTAGGGTGCCCGGCTGCAGGATGTTGAAACTCGACAGCCTCATCACGAAACCTCGTACCGGCAGCCCGGAATCCTAAACCATATATATATATATATACATACATACATACATCCTACAGTCAAAGTTTGAGGTATTTAGGGTTCAGGATTTTGGGCTTCGGATTTATCTTTGGGTTTAGGGTCGAGGCTTTTGGGTTTAGGACAACCGAAGAACTCCCAAAACACCGCACCCCCAAACGGCGAAGCCCTAGGCACTCAGAACCCTACTCGACAAAAGCTGCACGAACAAGGTCCAAAAGGCATGGTGTCGTAGGGAAATCCAAGCCCAACAGTCTCGTTGGGATCCTGCATCATCTGCTAGCTTGGAGATTTTACCGAGTTTTGGGGGGCTTTGGGGTTTTCGGTTGGGTTTACAGCTCAGGGGCCTTAAGGTGCAGGGTTTAGGGTTTGGGGTGCAG